AACTAACTTTTTCCGGATCCGAGGTCTTGGAAATCCGAATCTCCAACTTCTGGCATACCTAAAATATATGGCTTATACCGAATTACTGATAGTGAGTTCACTGAGAGGCACAGCCATACGCCACGAATATGAAAGTACAGATGATCCTCCTCTACAATGGTGCGATAGTAATGCACCCTCAGTCTCTGTAGCGATCACATGCGTAAACATCTCATACAGTGCGTATCAACTTCTAAAGTGACGATATGATCATAATTATGAGAACTGTGAAATTTGAAAGACAAATACAGGATGCTCCTCTAGCCATAAACAAATTTTTAATCAAAAGAAAAAAATCTGTTCGGTCAAAACTGTAAAATTTCCTGAAGAAACAAGCGCATGTTTCTGAACCATTAACAAATGTCGATGACCCAGTGCCTTCTACGAGCTATGCTCGCGAAAGCGAATCAATCAGAAGAAAAAGAAATTAATAATCCTGTTGTTACAGCTGCTTCCGGCATCATCTTCCAGCAGTTACTGTTAACTTTCCAATTACTCGCATTCAGTTAGTTACAGCAATTATTCCTTATCCATTTATCAGATATTTATATTCGACTTACGATATCTCAAACCTACAATGAGTTCATCAGAATATAATCCCATCGCGCGTCGAGAAGCATCTGTATATGAACACAGTGAAATTCCTCAAAAGGACAACTGATGATACTATCCAAAAGAAGTTGCTTCGAGACAAGATCTGTTCAGCGAAGGTACACTGGAAATCCTGCACATGCTACCTCACCGGTACACTGAATCTGTATTGTGCGTCGTATCTGCGATTCTGTGCACTTCACCCTTCCGAATAAGCAGCGGATATTCCAATGTAGAATGCCCATTTCGGAAAGTTTACTGATAGACACTATGATGGGCTTCGGCATGGTAAACCCCACAGGGAACGTTCTTCGGGAACGCTCATCGCTCAGCAATCAGTGATAACGTTCAAGAGAAGATCGAATTACATTCCGAGAGTAGAAATTTTCATTGTAACAAATCTGTTTCCATTTTGACCTTAGTATATAAGTGTCCTGTCCTTAAGACCATATATAGTGGACAGGAAAGAATAACCTAGAAATAATGTAGAAAAATAACGATTTATTATGGGACAAATAGGTTCGAACTTTAGTAGGCTTAGGATACCGCCAGTCCTTTCGGATTGCTGGATAACGTCATAAAACGTCCTCCATGACTCAGCACCAGGTCGTGAGTATCGGTGTGAGGCATGCTGCCACTGGAGCAAAGTTCTCGAGCAAACTTGCTCTAAGCCATTCTGGGCCTCCTTCCAGGTGCACCGTATGTCGACATAGCAAGGAACGCTGCGCGTTCATGCTTTATAACGAAATTTGCTCAATTCCAAAGGTTCTCCGGATAGCTCAGCTGTGAATTCTGCTGAGAAGTCTTTCGAATTTCTTCAGGGAACTTTTTCCGGCCTACTGTGATAGCCCTTGTGTTTGGTAGGTCATTCCACATGAATACTCAGTTATGACCCATAGCGAAACACAGGAACGAAATCGACATAAACACAGACCGCTTCGCCTTCACACTCAGCTTTGCCGGGAGGTTTGGAATAATTTATGAAGAACTCCAACAGTTATTCCGCTAGCGATCACCAAATTAATTAATCAGTTCCGACGGCCGTTCCCATCCAACTGTTAATCTTTTCTTTCATTCGTAAGCACGATGTCCCTGCAGTTGAACTCTTCAACCTGTTTCAATGACGCTCCATTAATCGGTAGAAGGGGCGGAAGTTGTGCTACTCACCCAGGATTTCCTAGTCAAAAATACTTTTGAGTAGTACTACTTTTGACAAGTGCTGCTACATCCCTGTCCGCCAGTCTACTCGCATAATCCCCATAGCAACTGCAATCTGATACGTCTTAACCACAGCGTACTTTCATCACCCACAACCTTACGCGCTTCAGGACGGATTTCATATAACTGAGCAGCAGTCATTTTTTTTGGAGACTTCGTCGCACGAGTGACTTCACGAGCCTACGAAACATGAACCTCTTTCCTTGAATGCACCTCATGTATATGTATCGCTGTTTGCGACCCCTAACTAAACGAAAGCTATGAATTACGGAAACAAACATTACAAGATATCGACTAAAAGAGGCAACCATATCTTTTGAAACAGAAAAATCTGTGACTTCCGGTCGAACATTACCTGCGATATATTTTATAATTCAATTACTCAAACTTTTTTCCATCATTACATGTTATTCTAATTCCGTGTAAGATTTCCTGCAATACTGAGAAATAACGACAACAGCAGTCTCATCGAATAACAAACAATAACAACTCGACAATGCAAAACAGATACAAGTCTTTTAATAATGGTCATTAGAAGTTTCAATTACCGGGCTGGACTTCGTCACCATCGCAGAGAAGCAGCCGGCCACTTAATGGACTCTGATCATCATCCATATAGTTTTTTTCCTGGACATCTGAAAAAATAATTCTGAATTTCACGTTTTATGAATAACATTTATCGTACAAGACTTTTCTTAAGCATTCATATATGTTCTTTGATGTCTTACGTTGCACCTTGTTGATACGGTACTGGACTGTATTCAAAAGAAAGCAATTTCATAACTAAATTACGAATTCTGAAAGCAGTCATTCATATCACTTTAAAGACAAGACTTAATTTGATACGGCAGAATCTAGAATACATTGAAATAACGAGTTTCTGAAAATTGCTGCATCTTGCGGAAATGTTGCAAGGTCACGAAATAAATTCACGCTTAATCTGAAAAACAGGAGATCTTGAAGAGGTCAGAAAAACGAATCTTCAACGGCTTCAGTATAACATTTTCAATTTTTTTACTTATTTCTCAAAAGAGAAGTATCTTAATGACACATTACTTTAAATGCTTGCGTAGGCTACGTGAGCGGTGCACAGATTGGGCAGGAAGGCACAAACAACTGAGGCGATACATAGTAAAATGCCATCTTATTTATTGACAAAGTGGGCCAAAACTTGAGTTGGCTGCTCTGCAAAAAAAGCTGTTTCAACCGCAGTCAATCTGCCGCTACACGACTCAACCTGTTTGCTATCTATACTGCTTAAAGTGCCTTGCCCTTAGTCTATGAAATCGAGAAATACCAGTCCCCTCCCCCCACTCCAACGCTGATAAATTCTTGTCTAAAAAAAACGTTTGATTGCGAAGTTCAAGTTAATCTAAAGTTTTGTTTACTAAACCGGGCACAACTAGTGATCCGCATAGACCACCACCTTTCAGAGCTTATATAAAGAACAACAGTCGAATAACTTCTTCAAGTACAGCTTTGAAGTCGATTGTGAACCTTCTTTTAAACTACCGGTTCATAAACTCATACGTTCCAACTGCGCTGTTGTTTTGCGATCGTCGTCTGAGACTAACATAGCAGAGTAACCCAGATATAAGATGCCGAAAGTTACGAAAAAATACTTCACATTGATATTAGGCAACGTTCACTGCAGCGACAATGGTCATATTCGAGGTCACATTCCTCTTTGTAAGCATGTCTGCCTCAACAACGTTTTTTCATGTTATGTACTATCCTTCAACGCGTCCACACTTCCAAGGTGAGAGAAATTTTGAACATATTTCTATCCACTTTTTGGCTGTGTATCAAACCAAACCAGGCGCCTGTCTCTGAGTTCATCTAATAGTTTTCTCAGATCAATGGTCTTCATAACTTGCTCGTTCGTGACTCTGTGCACTGCATTTAATGCACTTTACTGCGAATATAAACGCTAAAAGAAATCTTTGTTCTCTCGAAGCAGCCCTTTCTGTTTCTTTGATTAAATTAACGTTTGATTTTAATGCAAAAACAATATCCTTGGTTTAAATGATTTTCAACATCTTCAACTTGAAAGCAACCATGTTTTACTGAGCAGGCTTCAGATGCGTTGACCATATAAACAAAAAAATCAACGGCTTAATAACTTTCGACACTAAACTATGCATGGGCAGAATCAAACACGTTTCATTTGCCTGTTCAGCAGATGGAATCAATTACTTTTGGAGCGGCGATGTTGTACATGTATGACGAAGGAAACTGAAACACATGCCGCTTCGCATAAGCCATCTCTAAAACTCACTGGTGAGAACAGCAGAAAAAAATTATATCCAGGCGAAAAAAGCTGTGATTAAAGTTCAGGATATCTGCCATCTACTTCTAATCAGAAATAACAAATTGGTTCACAATCAGCTAACAAAGCGAACAATGATAAATAATGTAACTCATATCGTGGTCTTAAATTTTATGCAAATTACCTTCGAAAAGTTCGTTGCTACTGTCGTCTCGATTCAGTTCAACATTTGTCATCAATTCCTATGAAGGGCACTAAATTAACATTTGTTTGAAAAACACATCACTTACAGTCGTTTGATGAGGCCAACGCGGCTCGTCATTGAAAAGATCTTCTGTCGTCTTTCTTGGATTATCCTCTGCCATGCAAAATATCTTAAAGAGCACTGAGTCGACTCAGCTAAACGCAAAGAACCGTAAAAGTTCAATCATCTGACCAACCGCAAACTACGACGAATTGCGCGTGCTCTTAAAACAGAACAGCAATCGTAACAAATTATTTCAATTCAATCCTGAAGCTAGGCAGATGTTTTGTAATTAACTGAAAAAGAAAAATAAAGAAAAATGATGCATGTGCGCACCTTCACCAAGACATTTTCAATGTCTCAGTGCTAACAGTACATGAGACGTTGCACCGACATAACGATACGGTGTTGGCCCATTTATCTAGCGGGCGTTAATTTGATTAACTTTCGAAACGAAAAAACCTCGTCTGTGTAACTTTACTAAACGAATCTCCTATCAAATTACTTGCCTAAGTTCTTTCAGGCACAATTTTAATTACAATGTCTGTTCAACACATATGAAAATCAGACAGGTTTTCGAATTCCACTCAAATTCAATTTCAAATAAATCTAGTGTCCAAACGATCGCTTAATTTTCGAACAGTGATATAATTCATTTCCACAACAATGACTTTTTGTCCATTTTTCAAGCATGC